ATTTTATATTATTATTTTAATTCATCTTTATTATCATCATTACTAAATTTACTTATTTCAGATTACTAAAGCTTAATCTGAAATAAATAAAAACTGTACAGACATATTTTGCAAAAAAATTTTTTTTTAAATCTTGAAATAACTTGTCTTTACCAAATTAAATAATAATAATTTGGTTAACACGTTACTTGTCAAGGTTTTTTGTTTGTTGTTGTTGTTGTTATTGTTATTTGTTTCAAAATATGTCTGTACAGTTTTTATTAATTTAAGATCTTAGTACTTCAAGTTAACCGAACATAGGAAATATTGCATTGGCAACTAGCTGACAGAAAAGAAGTTTAAATTTTTTTAATATTGTATTTCATTTCATTTACCATTTATTTCATTGCAGGTGTTTTTTTTTTTGTTGCTGTAGTCATTTTAGTACTTCAAGTTTAACAACAATACGAAATGTTGCCTTGGTAATGAGTAATGAATATGTTTTAGAATGGGTTTAGATTTAGCTTTAGTTAACAATAATAACCTTTGCTTTGACATACAGCTCAGCAGTGAATTCTTGTGAAATCCCGTCTGTTGTTTCATTCTGACAGAGGTAAACAGGATCCGTTCGAGGGCGACGCCACGACGTGCAAAAACAGCTTCAATAACCCCGCCTACTACATTCTAGAAGGCGTTCCCAACCAATCCGCTGCTCTGGCCTCTGACATGCTCCCTCCCTCCGCCCTCCCTCTGCTAGCCAATAAAACAGCTCCTCCTGCAGGCGGTGTGGGGAAAAACAAGCCGCCCAGTGGAAGTTCTGCACCGGGTCGAAGGCAGACGTCTGGACGCCCGGTTCGGCCCATCAGCGAGGAAGGGTCTTTGGAAGATGATGGGAACATCGGGTCTTTAAATCGTCCCCCGCCTGATTTCCCTCCTCCTCCGCTGCCCAAAGGAGCTCTGGAAACGGCGGAAAACTCGTTCAGAAAACCGCAAAAACTCACCGACATCAAGATCCCGGCCCCGTCTGTGGTTCCGTCCAATCCGCTGTCGTCGCCCAGCTTCGTACCGCCCTCTGGGGGAGGGGGCGGGGGCGTGGCCTTCAGTCTGGAAACTCCGCCCACGCTGAACCTGAGCTCCGCCCCTTTCCGGCGAGGAGGCGGGGCCTTGGGACTGGACGACCAGTCGTGTTCAGTGCTGCAGATGGCCAAGACTCTGAGTGAAGTAGAGTATCCGTCGGGGAGAGGCGTTTTGAAGATGAGCGCTCCTCACATCAGAGGCCTGACCTTCCCTCCGCGCTCCATACAGGAGGAGAGCATCGCAGAAGACCTGCCCGAGGAGGTGACGCAAAAATACACACGCACTGTGTTCATTTACACACGAGCAGCTCAGGATCCAGTGTTTTCAGTGTCTCGAAGCAGCCTGTGTCTTGGAATATTTGATTACATTTTTATAATTCTTAAATTTAAAAAGTAAATATAAATATTTTTACTTATATTTATTAATTTTATTAATTGTATAATTTAATTAAAATATTTAAATGTTGCTAATAATTATTATTATTTTGTTACTAAGTGTTATTAAAAATAACAATTAGTAATTAATAATAATTATTTATAATTTCACATAAATTATTTAAATTATGATGATAATAATTAATTTTATTGTTAATAATATTGATAATTATAGTTAATAATGATAACAATAATTAATAATTAGTAATTATTAATAATTATTAATGGATATTACTTTAGATTAATAAATTTAATAATTACTATTATTCATTAAATATTTTAAATTACATTACAAATGTCAGAAGTCAGAAAGAGCTTTATTACCAAGTATGTTTACACGCACAAGGAATTTTACTTGACAACAGGAGCTTCCAGTGCAGAAGAAAGTATGGACATACATACATGCAGACATACATAGGAAATACATGGTAGAGATGGAATGTAATACTAATATAAGAAAAACTGAAAATTAAATAATGCACGATTATTATTCACGATTATGTGACTATAAATGACTATAAAATATAACAATAATTTATTTGTTTTGTTAGTCATTATACTATTAATATAAAATAATCTGTATTAATAAATGTTGATTGTTATTATTATTGTTGTTGTGGCAGGGTCTGTGGCATGACGAGAGCAGCAGCAGCAGTCTGTCGGTGGAGTGCAGCGTCGGCGAATGGCTCCAGAAGCTCGGTCTGCAGCATTACGAGGAGGGACTGCTGCACAACGGCTGGGACGACCTGGAGTTCCTCTGGTGCAAACACACACCTGTCTGCATGCCGTCACAGTCACGCACGGGTTAAAGGCCAAAGCTCTCACACCTGTGTTGGCTCAAACTCTAGATTACTTTCTTTGACAAATGTGACCCTGGAGCAGAAAACCAGTCATAAGTTCTTCTTCTAGCCATTTAGTCCTGTCCGACTCTTGGCTACTTCATAGGTCTGCATCCTCCACGTTCTTCTGTCTTTTACCGCTTCCTTGATGTCGCTCATTGTCGCTCATTGATGGTATCCAGCCAGTGCATCCTTGGGCGGCCTCTCCTGCGTGTTCCACTGACCAGTCCCAGCATGGTAGATTTTTCCAATAATTAATCGGCTCGCATGACATGTCCAAAGAATGTTAACCGTTGCATAGTAATTTTGGCTTCAAGCGACATATCTGGCTTGATTCGATTTAGGACTTCCACATTGGTTTTCATCGCCGTCCAAGGAATTCGCAGCAGCCCTCTCCAACACCAGAGTTCGAACGCATCAATCCATCTTTTGTCAGTGATTTTCATTGTCCAACTTTCACAACCATATGTGGCGATGGGGAACACGATGGCCTGGACGATTCTGCACTTCGTGGAGAGGCTAATATCTTTGTTTTGCCAGATCTTGGTCATGTCCGCCATTGTGCCATGACCCAGTGCAATCCTCCGCTTGATTTCAGATGTGCAGCCTCCGTCCTGCTCAATCATTGATCAAAGGTAGAAAAATTTCCTCACCGTCGATCGCAATGTGGACTTGCCCGTTGCCCGTTTTCTTTGACATTCAAATACAGGCCCAACCGTTCACTTTCCTCCTTCACTCTGCGGATCAGTTCTTCCAGATCCTGGATGCTTTCCGCGAGCAGGGTGGTATCATCTGCGTATCTCAGATTGTTGATATTCCAGCCACCAATTTTAACTCCGATGATTGACTCGTCCAGGTCAAGCTTTCTCATGAAGGTTTCCACATACAAGTTGAATAGAAGAGGTGATAAGATGCAGCCCTGTTGTACTCCTTTGCCAATTTCGAACCATTCTGTATTACCGTATGCTGTGTAGACAGTTGCCTTCTAGTCTGTGTACAACGATCGTATCAGCAAGATCAAATGCAGAGGGATGCCTAGTTCTTCCAGTGCAGTCCACAGCTTGTCATGTTCAACACAGTCGAATGCTTTGCTGTAATCAATTAAGCATATATAGATGTCCTTCTGGTACTCTATGCATGTCTCCATAATCCATCGGAAATTGGAAATTTGATTGCGGGTGCCTCTTTCCTTCCTGAACCCTGCCTGAGTATCAGGTAGTTCCGCTTCCAAAAATTTCCCCAGCTGCTATTGGATGATCTTCAATAAGATCTTGCTGGTGTGTGATATCAGGGTGATGGTGCGATAATTGGAGCAGTTGCTTGTGTCTCCTTTTTTTGGAATCGGGATGAACACCGACCGCTTCCAGTCTTTTGGCCATTTACAGCCTTTCCAGATGGCTTGGCACAGTGAGTGCTGGGATCGGCACTGCTTTCAGCATCTCTGATGGAATTCCATCGATTCCAGGGGCTTTCCTGTTCGGCAGTTGTCTAAGTGCCCATGCGACTTCTTCCTCCAGGATATCAGGTTCAATGTTGGTACAAGGGTGCTGTTGTACTTGTTGGCTTGAATTCGCATACATACCATCCGTGTACTCTTTCCACCTGTTCTTGACGGATTATTGGTCGTGACTGGTTACTGTCTGGGGATGTTGGAGCTGTTGGGGCATAAACCTGCAAGATGGTGATGTTTAGTGGTTTACCTCGAATTTGGATGGCGATCAGCCGGTTGTTAATTGCTCGATAACTTTCCACTGATCTGCTGACTTTCTTGCTGGTAATGAAGACCTCACCATTCCTGCGGACGGTATCGTTTCCTGAGGGATAGATGTTGTGGTCCCCTGATTGGAAATAGCCCCTTCCTATCCAATGGAGTTCGCTTATCCCCAGGATGTCGATCTTCATTCGGACCATTTCATTTTTGACAATCTGTAACTTTCCAAGGTCCATGCCACGTACATTCCATGTGCCAATTTTCATTGGTCTGGTGCAGCGCAGGCAGTTCTGTTCGATCCTGCTGGCGTCAGCAGTTGAGCGTCCAGGAGGATTTGTCGTAAGTAACTGGTCTACTGGGAGCATGTCCTTGCTCTTCTCCAGTCGCATTTTGGACACCGTCCAGCCTGGAGGGTCCACTGTCCGATGCCATATTTGAAGATGTAGTTGTTTGCATTCCCATGAAGTTTTTTGGCCATAACACGAGGGTAGGTGGCCAGGTCTTTCCCTCGGCCCTCCCTGGGCTCAACCACGAATGGTTGAGACCTTAGCCTATGGTTTAGCCCCGGAGGGTAACCGTAGTTGATCCCTGAAACCACGAAGAGTTTTGGGATGGGACAAGTAGCACAGGTATATTTGTAGCAATAACCAACAATACATTATATGGGTCAAAATTATCAATTTTTCTTTTATGCCAAAAATCATTAGGATATTAAGTAAAGATCATGTTCCATAATGATATTTTGTAAATTTCCTACCATAAATATATATAAATTTAATTTTCGATTAGTAATATGCATTGCTAAGAACTTAATTTGGACAACTTTAAAGATGATTTTCTCAATATTTAGATTTTTTTGCTCCCTCAGATTCCAGATTTTCAAATAGTTGTATCTCGGCCAAATATTGTGCTATCCTAACAAACCATACATCAATGGAAAGCTTATTTCCTTTCAGATTATGTATAAATCTCAATTTCAAAAAATTGAACCTTATGAGTGGTTTTGTGGTCCAGGGTCACACATGTAGTCATGTACAGTACATGTACAGTAGGCATTTAATTTTAGTTATTAGTTATTTCTCCTGTTTTCAGAAGGTTTCATGTTGCATATTTTTAATTTAATGTCTATTAAAGTTTTTCAGTGCCATTATTCATATTAATTATTATTAATAAAGTGTTAATGTTTGAAAGCAAAACCGTTAAGACAGCCATAAGTTTAGTACTATAATTTTAAATTATTCAAAATTATTTTTGATCAATTTTTTTTTATTAGTTATTTACTAGTGCTGTCAAACGATTAATCACGATTAATCACATCCAAAATAAAAGTTTTTGTTTACATAATATGTGTGTACTGTGTATATGTATTATGTATATATAAATACAAACGCATGCATGTATATATTTAAGAAAAATGTTATATGTGTATATTAAATATATTTATATAGAATATAAATTATATAAATATATACATGTAAATACATGTAAATATTTTCAAAATATATACTGTATGTGTGTGTATTTATATATGCATAATAAAAACACAGTACACACACATACTGTATATTACATAAAACAACTTTTATTTGGATGCGATTAATCGCGATTAATCGTTTGACAGCCCTATTATTTATACCATTTTTAGAAATGTTCCCGTTCTGTAATTTTAATTTAATGTTTATTATAGTTTATCAGTGTCATTTGGTTTTACATCAAATTAAAGTTCTATGGTTTAACATTTAAAACAAAGAAAGTAACACAACCATAAATTTTAGAGTTGAAATTGTACTGTTGTTCAGTTTTTAAAAAAAGTAATTAAATATTTTTTACCATACAGTAGGGTTAGTATTATTACTGTAGTAATATATGATATGATTTAGTTTTTATAAGTAAACATATAAAAGGTGTAATTTGCAAAAAGTATGACAAAACATTGACAAATTTAGTAAATCATGTAGGTATCCAAAATGTTATCAGTTATTTATATTATTTTTAGCAGGTTACTTTTTACTGTCATTTTTTTTCTCAGCGCTGTTCAGGAAGATTCGATCACACTTGATTGTGATTAGAATTTTCATCAATATATTTTTAGTTAGATTTCAGAGTACAAGCTTCTCATCCAATGACGTCTCTTTCCTGCAGTGACATCACAGAGGAGGATCTGGAGGAGGCGGGAATTCATGACCCCGCCCACAAGAAAATACTGTTGGCCAGCTTAAAGCAACAGCAGCAGCAGAAATGAGATCCAGACCGGACTGAACGAGAGAAACTTTGCACTGGTAGAGAAAGTGGTTTTAATTTAATCCGATGTAATAAAGCTGGTCATTTTAGTTCATAATATTATTTAAACATGTCAAAAAGGATGTGTCACTACAGCCCCACCCTCAACTTCCTGTCGTCTGCGTCGGGAGGAAGTGACGTCATCGGAACATTCCTCACCTTTGGTGACTGAAGTGTTAATTACAAACAGTTTGTTTTTATTGCATGTTTTATGACTTTAAAGGAAAGGGAAAAGCCAAAATCAGCAGCTCACTGTGTTTGTACGTTTGCGTTTGTTTCTCTGCCTTCGTTTGTACGAAATCAATCAGTTTGTTGGACGCACACACACACTCTCTCTCACACACACACACACACACACACTCTCACACACACACACACAATATCTCACACACATGATTTATAAGCTTTTGTACCCGTGGGGACCACAATTTAGGTCCCCACCGTGACACGAGTCCCCATGAGTCTGTGTGTATTCAGGTTTAAGTCCCCACCAGAATATATAAACCAGTACACTCACGCACACACTCACACACACTCTCACACACTCTGATCTCATCAGCAGGTGGCTCTGGATGATCAGCGCTTCATTTGAGATGTGAATCTTTGTCTGTTCGTTCATTCAATATGATTCAGATTCAGATGCAGTCTGATTCGTTCATCTTTTTTTCGTGTTTGTGTTTTGAGTTTCCAGACGTCGGTCTTGTTTCAGATGAGCTTCAGTTTGGAAAGCTTTCAAGAGTTTTACCTCGTCCTGTAATGAATCACTCCGTGGAAACACAGCTGTAGTCTTTCTGTTTGGATCCTTACAGCAGGAAAACTGATTGTTTTATTTAACAGTGTCTTTAACATTATTATAATTGGGGTGTTTCTCCTCAAATGCATGTATAAGTTCTTGCATAATTGTTTTGTGTATTAAGTTTTAACATTATACGTTTCTCACCCATCATTCATAATTATAATCCTTTGAATATTATTAACTGTTTAACTCTGTGTTGTTGTAAGTTAATATTGTGTTTGAGTTTCTGTCCCTTTAATGTGTTTTTGTTTTTCCTTTTTTCAATTGAATAAAAATTTAAATCTAATGTTCAGTAAAGGAAATACAATTCTGTTGTGTTGTGTCTCAGATATTTTCCTAAGACCTTTTTTTTAAATCAGACAGTAGCAAGTTTTATGAAGTTACTTTCAAAACTTTACTATCGTACTATATTTGTCCATCTATTGATTTTTTTTTTAAAGTATCAAGCACCTTACAGTTGTTCTTTGAATGTAAAGTGTGACATTGAGACATTTGCAAGGTTTTTCTTGTTTAAATCAAAAGCAAAATACAAATTGTGAAAGAATTGCTGAAGCATGCGTGAATATTCCGAGCTTCTGAGTTCCTGCCAAGATTAATAGTTATCTAAAACTAATAACATAAAAAATACCTTGAAATGAACTATTAACTGAAAATAAAATTAAATATAAATTAAATAAAATGAACACGAAAGCAAAAAAATAAATAAATAAATAAAACCAAATTCAAAGTATTGACAAAGATTATAACAGCATCTTTAGCGAAACTAAAACAACATGTGAATGTGATGCGTCTGATAGGAGATGGGACTGGAGAAGCTCTCTATTTTCACTCTTTATTTTGTCATTTTTATGGATTATATACAGCAGATCATTCATGAAATACATGGCGTGCACTGGAGCCAGGAAACATTAAAAAAAGAAACTACGTCGTATTTATATTAATATTTACAAAATATTTTTCAATAAAAGCCTAGCTTAAAAAATCATCCCAACATTTTTTTTGTTTGTTTGTTTTTCTTTTTTCCTTCAATAAATTAACTACAAGTGGCTTAACTATGCTTGTTTCTGGGGTCACACACACACACGCAAACACACACACACACACACTCACACAGACAGACAGACACACACACACACACACACACACACACACACACGCGTGTCAAATCCATCTTCAAAGAGCTTCAGTGAAGAACCGCATGACAAATTCATCAATAAGATGCAGGTTTGTCATCATCCTGATCCTGAATCCTTAAACTCACCCAGAAACTGTTGAGTTCTGGAACAATAAAAACAAGCTGGAATATTAATATTTAAGATTAGACTGCTAATTTAGGTACGGATCATTAATAAACCCATAATCTGCAGTGAATATTTGGTTACAGCTCCTCTAATCGCATTACAGTTCCTTCTCATTCGACGTCTCTTCCTGAAGACCTGAACTGATTTCTGGTTCTGAAGGACAAACGTTTCTGGACCTTCATTTAAGAGGAAATGAGGAACTCATTTACTGACAATTCAAAGGATGCTGATGTCGATCTATAGGGCTTCTCTTCAGCGTTAAGAGGAAAATAAGAGGAAACGGACCTGATGAACACAAATAATGGACTGCAGAATAAACACACAGACACACATCAGAAGCGCCAACATGACAATAAATTAACCATCAGGGCCCGTATTCACAAAACATTGGTTTTATCTTACCACTAAGAGTTCTCCTAATTAGCAGTAAAAAAGATTTTTCTCTTAAAACCTGTTCACAAAGCTGCTGAGACTAACTTTTACTTAGGAATAGAGAGAAGTGTTGAGCTCAGAGTAAGGGGGCGGGGCTGAGCTCGTTGCTATGGATGATGTCATCAAGCTTATTAACTATGCACACAGTGATTGGCTGATAGTCTCTGTCAGAGATTTATTCATAGAAATATTGTAGAGCGCGATATGTTGCCATATTCAAATAAAGGTTTAAAAATAAAAATGTTAATTGCCACATTCAAATAAAATGCAGGCTAAGAGTCACTAATTAAACAAGTATATGTTGTCAGCCTCTTACATGTGTGCTTCTTGTAAACAATTAGCGGATATGCATATAAACAGCTTTTTAATTAACAGAGTAGAATAATCATAGCTGATAGTAAGACATGCAAACGTAAAAGAAAACCGGATGCAAGAACATCCGTTACTTCTTACCCAGCTGGTTAATGAAAACAAAAAAGGAAAAATTGGGATTTGGGATAAGACTCTTCAAGAAAGCTCCTGCAAAGCTCCTGAGAAACTCTGCTCAAGTGCACCGAGGACTAAAGCTGCTTTAAACACAAAGATGCTCGCACCAAATGTTGATTTCATTTAGTTAATAGAAGTGAATTGATCAAGAAAATCTATTTATGACATTATTTTTGACAGCAAGTGCCTAAAACATTTAACGGTAGCTTTGCAGGAGGCTTCTTGAAGCGTCGGTTCTTCTGGATTGAGTCTGTCTCAGTTTGTTCTGTTTCTTCATGTGACTCCAGACAGACTGATGATGATCAGATCAGATCAAAAATCTCACTGCTTCATGTGACGACAGACTGATGATGATCAGATCAGATCAAAAATCTCACTGCATTATTACAATTAATGGCCAAATGAATGTTCGGAAATCTAAACTGATATTTCCTACTGACACACTACAGCAAAAGATAGACATAACTGACTGAAAACCATTTTTAGCTGCTGAGAATACTAGTGTTCTATCATTTTGGGCCACCGCTGTACTCTCAGAGCAAACATTTAGGAGTCCTAAATTTAGGACCGACACGCCCACACTCTTAAAAATAAAGGTGCTTACTAGGTTGTTCACAGAGATGCCATAGAAGAACCATTTTTGGTTCCACAAAGCACCATTCAGTCAAAGAACCATCTCTTTCTTACCTTCTTATAATCTGAAGAACCTGCATTCGCCACAAATAACCTTTTGTGAAACAGAAATGTTAAAGGTTAATTTAGACAAAAAAGGTTCTTCTATGGCATCGTGAAGCACCTTTATTTTTAAGATTTTCTCCTTAATCGGCAATTTGTGAGCTACTTTTAGATGCCTTAAGATGTTTCATGAATACGGGCCCAGGAGTCCAGCTCTACGCAAATCAATCAACACGAAGCGGAGTCTCTAGAACAGGTTGGTCTTGATTGTGTTGGGTTTCCGGTGGAACGAGGACAGAACGCCCGTGAACGGCACAGACGCCATACTGTCCGCCGGCTGCCAGGCCTTCAGCAGGTCCTGGGTCTGGACGGTGCTGGGCCAGGGCGAGCTCTTGAGGCCCTGGTGGATGGAGGGCGAGATGGAGGCGTTGGAGAAGGCGGCCGAGGAGCCCGAGACCGGGCTGGGGCTGAGGCTGCTGGCCCCGGGGCTGCCCATGTTCCCGGAGCCGGGCAGAGACGCTGTGCTGTCGGGCGTCGGGCTGCAGGTCGACTCTTTAGACTCGTCGTCTTCAGAGCAAGAGCGGTTCTCGCCTGACTTCTTGCCGTTGGCGCCGGCGTTCGCTCCTTTGGAGTTGGCGGCGCGTTCTTGTTTACGAAACTTGGCGCGTCGGTTCTGGAACCAAACCTGAGGAGGAAAATACACTCTTAATTAAGAATAAAGGTTCCAAAAGCGGGTTTTCACAGTGATGCCACAGAAAACAAGCTTTGGTTCCCCCAAACAGTGTTGCCTTTGTAGCTAGATTTAGCGACTTCCCCACCCTTTTTTGAGACGTTTAGAAACAAATATAACAGCTTGGACAAACCTTATCTAAGTTCTCATCGTGCCCACTGATCTACATTCATCTTTATATAGATCAGTGAATTTGCCATTATGATGTCATCTAAGCTACAGGTTTTAGCTACTTTCAATTGAGTAAGTAACTTTGCAACTACATGTCAACTAGCAGTCATTAGAGTATTAGTAGACTGTCTGCTTAATATCTTCTAACACTTTATTTTGATGCGTCCACAACATACAACACACTGACTGTGTCAACTTATTCTACTAACTCTAAACCTAACCTAACTGTCTACTCTGAGAGTTAGCAGACATGTAGTTGCAAGTTAATGAGAATTAGTTGACATGTAGTTGCAAAGTTACTTATAGTTAGTAGAATGTCTAAAAGGGACTATCAAAATAAAGTGTAACTTAAAGAACCTTTTTCCACTGTAAAGAACCTTTTGTGGAATGAAAAGTTTCCATGGATGGTAAAGGCTCTTTGTGGAACCATTGATGCCTATAAAGAACCTTTATTTTTAAGAGTGTAAAGGGTGTTTGCTGTAGAAGAACCATTTGTGGTTCCTCACAGAACTTTCCAGTGAACAGTTCTTAAAAGAACCATTTTTGAAGAACATCTTTAAATCCTTCACACTTAAAAATGATGGTTCTTGATTGGCATTGATGGTTCCAAAAAGAACCTTTAACATCCATGGAACCTTTTAATGCACAAAACGTTGTTTATAGTGAAAAAAAAACGTTCTTTAGATGGTTAAAATGTTCTTCACACTAAAAAGAAAATGTTTTTTTCCACTATAGACTCTTAAAAAATAAAGTTTCCAAAGGTGGGATTTAATATTGATTTCATTGAAGAACCATTTCTGGTTCCCCAAAGAACCTTTCAGTGAAAAGTTCTTTATAGAACCATTTTTTCTTAGTGTGAAGAACATTTTTTGAAAATTTTTGCCACAATAAAAAAAACTTTTGTGCAATGGCTTGATTTCATGGATGTTAAAGGTTCTTCATGGAACCATCAATGCCGATAAAGAACTTTTATTTTTAACCTTTATATTCCACAAAAAGTTCTTTATAGTGGATTTTTAAAAAATTACACTAAGAAAAAAAGGAACCTTTTCCTGAAATTCTATATAGTGGAAAAATATTCTTCACACTATGAAAAAATAAAATGTTAATTTAGGAACTGTTCATTAAAGGGTTCTTTGGGGAACCAAAAATGGGTCTTCTATGAAATTGCTGCCAAAAACAATTTTTAAGTGTTTTTCCACTATAAACTCTTTCTTGAGCATGTAAATCTACATCTACACCAAAAATAAAGTTTTTTTTTTTGTAAATATGTCAAAGACGAAACATTTTTGGTTCCTTAAAAACCTTTCAGTGATCAGTTCTTAAAAGAATCCTTTTTAATTAGTGTGAAGAACATCTCAATCATCTACAGAACCTTTTTATTCAACCTTATTTTTACCTTTTCACCAAGAAACTCTTTTAAGAGAAAATGAAAAAATGTGCCTGTCTGAATTTATATCTCTAGTGAATTCCGGAAGAGTAAACAACATGAAGAATATTAATATTTAAGATTGGTAATTTAGGAACGTACCATTAGTAAACCCATAATCAGTTGTGAATATTTGGTTAGAGCTCTTCTAATCGCATTCTGAGATGTTTCTCCATAAATCTCGTTTCTCCTGCTGGACTAAACATTTCTGCACCTTCATGTAAGAGGAAATGAAGAACTAATTTACTGACAGCAACATCATTCGTGATATTGATGTGCATCTATAAGGCGTCCTTCCTTTAGTGGCTCCATGGATGATGAAGGTTCTTCATGGAACCATCGAAGCCAATAAAGAACCTTTATTTGTAAGAGTGTGAGACCTTTCCATTCCACAAAAGTAAAAAGATTTTTAAATTGTTCTTCACACTAAGAAAAAAATGCTTCTTTTAAGAACTGATCACTTCGTCGCGAAAACCCTCTTTATTTTTTAAGAGCGCAGACGGATAATAGCTGCTATAAATCAACCTAATAAAATCAACTAAATTAATTACATTTGGAAGCGTCTGCGAACAGCGCTGCAGGCAAAAAAGCGAGACCCAGATATTCAAATCAGCCAAAATTCAATTGTTTTGTTAGATTTTTTTAGCGAATAAAAATGCGTATCAATAGCACGTTTTTTTTTTTTTT